TAATGGACGTGCATTTTTGTACTCCTATATCCACGCAGCAATCAGACAGCACAGCTCATATTAATCCCTTCGCCTCATATTGTACTTCGCAAATGAAGCGATACGAACATCAGCGTCGGTCGGACATTTGTGCGGGCGGGCGCGGGTGGACGTCCGGTAGATTTTATGTTGTAGCCTAATGGGGCGCTATAAGGGTACCGTCGTTGGAAAAGTCGCCATGCATCGTTTGCTCAGAGGCGCTGAATTCAGTCCTGCTTGGAGTACAGTCCTACAAACACAGGTCTCTTTGAAGCAAAAAAACCGCTCCCTTACAGTTACACCGCCCTGCGGTCTCTGTGCAACCCCTGGCTCACAAATCTCTTTATCACATCTCTCAGCAGTGGATATGGATATCATTCAATGCAAAGAAAAGAATACGAAAAACAATAAAAACACGGAAGGAAAACTCTTGAAAAGAAAAACTTAAAAACTCGGCTCCGGTTTTAGGGTTTACGGTACGCGTGCATCTTTAGTGTATTGATGCGTCGAGGCTTTTGCAGCACGCAACAGGATCGCTGCGTTTCAATGGGCCATTTTACCCATTTGCGGGAAGGGTTGGAGTTGACTGTATGTGCTCCCAGTTTATAAAAGGTAATAAAGGAGAGCAGAATTATCCATAGGCACGAGCGCGATCAGCAAAAAGGACATGCAATTCCGATTAATGTCCGCCGCCCCGACAAGAAACAACTGAGCGGCCCTATGTCGGAGGACATCTAGCGAGGGAGGCAGTCCAAGTGAGCGGGCGTTAGAACTAGAACTTTCAGCGGCTGTAGCTCGCTCTTCGCTTGCCGTGAGGCGAAATACGGAGAAGGACATTTCTAGCGTTGGGCTGTACTCTTGCATACAGGAAAGGACGACCTGTATACTTTGAGCGCGCGGGACTGTTTTATTAGTGCTCACCTTTCCTCCATAACGAGTGCGTGAGCAGGGGTGCAACCCTAAAGGCGCTGCTGTTTGATGTCTTTAACACGTCCCAGACTGACGCCTACTTCGCGTGGCATTTACGTGTGCCCGCCGCCTTTTTGGATGCGAGGCTGTCGTGACACACATGGTGTGTCACGCGGCCACACGGACCGCGGGTCAGACCGCGCTTATTTTCTACCTGATTATGCAAACTCTGAAAACTTGTACGTGGAGGTATTCACATCCTTCAACGCAACGAATATGACAATCATTTTTGGCGCCGTCGCCATTTGGCGCCAGCGGGAGCCAATTTGGCGCCACGATCGTATTTAGCGAAATTGATGTGGTTTTGCATTCGAAGGTCGTACTCGAGGATCGCCGACATATCGAATAACGACGCTTCATCTTTTTCTTCTGAGCCCTGACAACCGGTTCCGATCGATGGCCAGCTATCAAGAGGGCATTGCAAATTCCTCTGATTCTCCTTTGCAAAGCATGAACACATCCTCATCTAATTTCATCAAAACGAAACACGAGTATTACATATCCAATTATCCTGGTTCCTAACCTCAACACTCGTTTTTTGTTGAAGAAAGTAAATAGGCGCTAAAATGGCGTCTCGTGGCGTCACCGCTGAAGATATCTGTAGCTAGAGACCACGCTAACCTCCCAATGTACATTTATACCGATTTCGGTGAAAGATGTCATAGCGCCGAACTGGCGCCAAACTACGCCAAATGGCGTCAGCTTCGAGAGCGTATGTCACTTTCGAGATTCAGGATCCTTCATCGCCCCGTAAACGCACGTTTTTTAATAGAATTTTGTGAAGAAGCCACGGCACCATACTGGCGCAGTGGCGCCAAATGGAGCGGACGCTATAAGAGTGTGTCAATTATCCGAATACAGCTGACACCGAAATGGGCCCCAGAAGAACAGTCCTTTTCAGCAAAAGTCGTTCTGGGCGCGATATTTCTAGAGCATGATGACCCTTTATGTATGAGTTTGCTAACACTTTAGAAAATGTCTTAGTGCAAATGAACTACCATGAGCGTTCCGCGCCCCCATTATGCCGAGAATTCGTAGCCTACAATATGGGATAATATACAGCAACTCAATAAGAAATTCTGCGCTACATGCAAAACATAGGGAAATTTCAGCTTCGATATCGGTTGGAACCCCACACCCATTGGTGTGGCACGCAGCCACAGGGAGGGCAGACACGGGTGACACACCAAGGTTCACGCGTGCCGGTAACCGTTAACCATTCAAATATCCGCGAACTATGCTACACATCTGATTCGAATAGGCAATCAGACAACGAATGGATTTAATGACCGTTTTCATTTCTGACAGATCGTTCCCATCGGAGACTTTGAACAGCTGGTCATGTGCTTTCCGATTCCTGACCTAACGGATGAGTACAAGTGGGACCCTGCGTCATACATCCGTAAGTTATTTCACTGCAACTTCGCATTTCGGAAAGTGTCCGCGTTACGGGGTAAATTGAAGTTGACTGATTTGTAAAATGATGCGGCGGGAGCCTCAAATAGGGCGCGCGGTTGAACATTGCGCTCTACAAAGAGATTGTAATTGATTTGTAATAGATTGCGCTCCCACAACCCATCTCCTATTTCCTTACTCATTTTCCTCTATCCCCCGTCGGTGGAAGAACTCGAACGCTGAGGTGAGTTTTGGTAATGGAAAAGGCATGCAAGGCTCAACTTCGACGGCAGAGCCCCACATTGGAGGTACTGAGGTTCAAGACAGAATGCTAAAAGCTAAGCGACTCAGCACTCATTGAGAAGCAGGAGAAAACGCCGAATTGCTCCAATAACACCATTTCAGTTTTGAACAGTACGTGAAGATGTGGCGAAGGAAAGTGCTCAAAAGTGAAGCAGAGCACACAAATGATCGGAACCTATGTAGGTGGTAAAGTCATCACCCACTATATATAATTTGCTTCTTCTGTTTATTTATTTGTTTGTTTGTTTGTTTGTTTAATTGTTTGTCTGTCCGGAAATTCGGTTCTACCAGAAGAACAACTTGGAGAGGTGGGATCAAGGTCGGGAGGGTAGGGCATGTGACAAGATGTAAAGAGCAACTGTAACTCATGGTAGGCGCCGCCCACAGTAGGCGAGGCATGCGTTGAAAGTTAGCGGTCTCGCTCAAGAGAAAAATATCGGCTCCAGAAGCAGCCAGCCGAGATGGAAAAGTGATTAAGGCTATCAAATGGCGACGAATCAAAATGGAGGAGAAACACAAACCGGAAATGGCGGGCGCACTCGAGATGGCAGTGCATTCCCAACAAATGTCGGTAATACCGGTCCCCCGAGAGGAATTAGAAGATTGGCAAAAAAAGTCCATCGGCAAAGAGACAAACTTCTGATGGAGGGTCCGGCCATATCTGAGGTATGCTATAACCCCCACAGTGGGAGGGCGTGACTCAATGTGAGGCGCGTTAATAAAAAATGCTAAGTATTCGATCCTAGAGCACTACCGATAACGCGGAAAAGTGGATTATGGTCCCAAGCGGTCCCCGTTCAGAAGTGCAAGATACACCGTTGTGGGCAGAGCGTGTACCGAGGTGGGCGGAGATCAAACACAAGTCATAAAAGGGTTTCCAGGACACGTCAGAAACCGAAAAAAAAGTGGATTAAGATGTAGGCAGAAGGGTCGCCGGCGAAGATTGTGGGGCACAAGCATTGTGGGCAGGGCCTGCTCCGAGGTGAGCGGAGCCAGATAATAAATCTGCAAAGCGGTTTCAGAGCGGTCCAGACACCGTCAACATGTAAGCAGAGATGTGCAGGACCTCAACTATTGGATTTATGGGCAAAGAGCTGAGTGTGTCTGTGTTGTTGAACATCGCTCCAGTGGGGCGGAGTGCACGACGTACTTATTCTTACTGAGTTTTAGCGCGTATTCTGCCATACTCTTAACCACCGGTCGTCATAGGTATAGATTCCAGTCGGCTCGGCGGCTGATGCCAGCGCTCCTCCTCCTGTGATACGGCCCAAGTTGGCCAGACGGGCACGGCTTCGCCACACATTCCTTCCCCAGCTATTCTCTCGCCTGTGCCTCATATCGCACTTAGTACCACTCCAAACCCAATAATAGTCTGAATAGCAGGGATGATTTATTTGTCGAATAGCTGTAACCATGAGTGCAGAATAAAAGCCTGATATCAGTTGAGTCAGATAGGTAATTGAAAAGATGGTACGCGCGGCGAAGCCGCGCCCCCGCTCGCAGGACCGACGTGTCAGAAGAGGGCGCGCCGGCGTCAACCGGGGAGCCGACTGGTCAAACGGTAAACGTGGAAGGGGAGCGTTCCTATTGAACACATTTGGATCAAAATACTGCGCGATATGCCGCTCCAAGTCGCGCCATCTTGCATGACCAAGAGCTTCTGCACGTCGGTCAATCACCGAATGTTTCCTCAAGATCGGAAATGGGTAATAATGAGCGACGAAATCGCCATCGCCATGATGTTTATTGACTGCACACTCGTAAAATTTTCGACAAGAATTAGAGGAGGGAGTTGGGTGATCAAAGTTCTAATTCTTCTTGTTATTTTGCAGAACGCCTGCTCATTTCACCGAAGAGAAGGTTCGGTTGTTGTCTGATGTTAAAAGAAGGACGACGATGGCGGACTCATTTGACTGAGCTAATTAGCCGTCTTTCGCGAAAGAATCGGCAGTGTTCTAATCTCATTAACTCTCGACCGCTGTAAGGTCAATCCATGTTCCGTGAAGATTCCGTTTGTACTGTTTACTCTTCGCGTCCGCATTCTAACGAAAATTAAGCCGGAAAGCCTGCTTTCTTGAAAACAAATATCACATCCGCTTTCCTATAATCCTTTGGGCCAAGACTCGCTAGGAAGATAGTTTGACTCTCTCAGCAAGGATATCATGTTTCGCTTGGGCGAGAACTTCTTGTACGCCTACTAGGCGTGCCGGTCGTGGTTTTGCGACTGCTTGAACTTTCTGGATGTATGCACATAACTAGAAGGCAACGGCGTCAAAGGCATCAGAAGGAGTAAAAGGCACGTGGCAAGCTAGGAAATGGCCACGGGAGCCTCCGGGGCAAGTGGGCAACCTATTATGCGTAAAATGTTAGAATCTATAAGGGTGCAGTGGTCCAAACGAGACCGTTAGAGGGGAAAAAATGCAGACGAGAGCTTTAGAAGGAAACAGAAAACTATCACGATTTAGAAGATCTAATTTACAGTCGTGATCCCTCAGACTGGTCATCCGTAATTGCGTACTTCACTGGGACGCGACGGCGGCTGCAGTAGGAGTGGCGATCGATGCTGCATGATCAGCTGATTTCAGCGGATGAAACTTCTAACTTTGCCTGTTTATTCTGCTAACTAGAAGGAAAAGTGAGTTCATATTATTTACTCTAATTTGAGGTTTTATTGTATATTTTGCTTTCAGTCGCTATTTGACTGCAGTGACGGTGTTTTTACCCACTTTTTGATTTTGTTTAGGTTTTTTTTGTACTAATGAGGACACATAACGACACTGCCATGGAGAACAGTCCAACATTCAAAGCACAACAAAAAAACCTAAACAAAATCAAAAAGTGGGTAAAAACACCGTCACTGCAGTCAAATAGCGACTGAAAGCAAAATATACAATAAAACCTCAAATTAGAGTAAATAATATGAACTCACTTTTCCTTCTAGTTAGCAGAATAACAGGCAAAATAGAAAAATTAATCGCTGAAATCAGCTGATCATGCAGCATCGATCGCCACTCCTACTGCAGCCGCCGTCGCGTCCCAGTGAAGTACGCAATTACGGATGGTCCAGTCTAAGGGATCACGACTGTAGGTAGTCTGAAGACCGTCAGCGCCGCAACGTTGTGGCGCCATCGACCTGTGAAGGCCGTGAGCCAGCGCTGTTTGAATTTTGCAAGGCCTGGTTGGGCAGATGCTTCATGACTTAATGGGGGGGGGGGGGGGGGGGGGGGGGGGGGGGGGGGGGGGGGGGGGGGGGGGGGGGGGGGGGGGGGGGGGGGGGGGGGGGGGGGGGGGGGGGAATGACACTGACAAGGGAGGTCTTTCAGGTCGTGGCGCGCTTTTCGGAAATGATTTGTTGCATGTTGTAGAGGTCCGAATAAGGATCACAAAAATGGGTTTCATTTTTGCTATGCGTTTCTGGGTAGGTCAAAAACTGAGTGCAAAATTTGCTGGGGAGAAGCGATTTTGAACCATTTTTTCGAGGCTTATTCTATTTATAATGTTAAGTATGCATAGCAGATGAGACTTTTGTCGACACTGCATCGAAAACAATACAATTCAAGGTAAAACATACTTTCATTGGCACCTAGTGAGGCAGCATGTATTCCTCAGATATTCTCGCAGCATCCCAACCCGCAGCTGGCGTGAGGGGGTGTTCAGAGCCATGTTGGCGCCAAATGACCTAGACGCCAATTTTAAAGGTCAGAATCGTCATCAGGGCCATTAATAACCTCTATATACAGACTTTCAGCAAAAATTTTCTCCTCGAGATGAGCGCTTAACAGCCCCTGCGTGCGGGTTGGCAACAATTCAGTGGAAGAATGCTCTTGCAGCAAGTCGGCGCTAGGCTGCGCCGTGGTCAAAAATGGGTGTCGTAAATCCAAAACCGAAAAACGTATAAAGTATCCGAAAAATGCAAAGAGTTAGTCGCCAAGGGGATCCGATCCAAGAACCTTCTTCGCGAGAGCCCACCGCACTATCCACTCCGCCATCCGCCGAACGCGAAACTCGTTGCGAGAAATGTTTGCGAGTAACTTCGTATTTACTCCCCTCACTGCCACTTCATTATTGCTTTACTTTCGCGCATCTTTTCAAATCTACATAGTGAAGGGACACCTCATGAATTATGCACTGTCAAAGTTACAGCTACAACAGAGCCCATTAACACGGTTAAAATCGCGATTTCTCGTCAAATTGTTTTCACTCAGTTTTTGACCTCCCCAGAAACGCATAGCAAAAATGAAACCCATTTTTGTAAACCTTGCATGGACCCCTACAACAAGCAACAAACCATTTTTAAAAAACGCGCCACGACCTCAAAGACCTCCCTTGTTAGAGCCACGTTTTGGCTAAATCTATCCCTAAGAGGAAATTTCGATTAAACTGTGCCCTGAATTTTAAAGAGTGTGCACATGTCAACGTCTTTGTCTCAACTACACTTCTTCTTGAAAAGAAATCAACACGATACGTTGAAATTGTTCCCTCACATTTTTCTTTTTAGATGGTCTCAGTCACATTGAGGAAGTAATCAGCCTGGTGTTCAACTACACTGGGTTACTCAGACGTAGTGGAGTGATCGCCTGGGTCCACGAAGAACTTCAGAAAATAGGAGAAATCCAATTCCGCTTCATGGTTTGTGGGATGACCTCCAAGCACTCACGACCACTCACTTGCTATTCACTTTCAGGAGAAAGACGATCCAATACATGCTGCAGAAACACTTTCCTCTGCTCTGCAACGTATTCCTTTCCAAGATGTCCTTTCGTGGAAGGTTCTGACGGAGTGTAAACCTGGTACTGCACAGATTCCATCTTTGAATGCACTTTGCAAGCGAATCTTGCACCTGAAGTTAGGATGTGAACTGAACGAAAATCTCTAAAAGCAGTACACACTGGTTGTGTGGGTGGAATCAGACCCCACCACCGATCCAGCCTAATTCTTTCTTCCTAATTACATTCACAAGTAGCAGTAGCAGTGCTCCAATAATGAAGGGTGAATTTGGGCCCTGTCTCCACCTACACGGTCAGCATGGTCTATGCTGCTGACGACAATTAGTTTCAGATCGAATTATGAAG